CTGGCACGCTGCCCATCGGCCACGAGCTGCTGCTGCTGCTGCTGGGCGTCCCGAGGAGTGACTGCCCCCGGCCGGGTGCCTGCACCGGCCTGCACGGTGGAGCAGGGTCTTCATGCTACTTGCCCCCACAGGTCTCTGGACCTTCCTGTGGTTCATCGGGTTCTGCTTCTTGACCAACCAGTGGTCCTGGACATGGACTGAGCACGTGTACATCGTGGCAGACTCTGCCCGTGCTGCCATCACCTTCAGTTTCTTCTCCATCTTCTCCTGGGTGAGTGAACCACCCTGCCCTGCTTGGGGGGAGCGTGGAGGGGCCCCCTATACTGCACAGTGCAGGACAGCCCTAACGCTGCCGCCCCCTCCTCTCTGCAGGGCCTCCTGCTGACCTTCGCTTACAAGAGGTACAAAATGGGGGTGGAGGACTTTGCTCAAAGCTATGTCGACCCCACCCCAGAGGTTTCGACTCCCTACTCCAGCTACCCCAACATCAGCCATGAGAGCTACCAGCAGCCGCCCTTCACTCACACTGCAGAGGCCCCGGAGGGGTACCAGCCCCCCCCGGTGTACTGAGCCCCAGCTGGTGCCTGCGGGTGGCTGTACCAGTGCAATTCCTTCTGTGGGGTGGGAGGGGTGGGAGGGTGACGGCTGCTTTGTGTGAAGGTGACCGGGCCTTGGCATGGGGCGCAGGAGGGGCCTGGTCCTGATGCTGGAGCCAAGCTCCCTGATGAGGGGTCGAGAGCCCCGTGTGTGGTGGGTGATTTGGCGCACGGTGGTGATTTGCAGCTGCTGGGTGAGCCCTGCGGCTGCGGGAGGGTGGGTGTGCGGGCAGCCCTGGCACAGCTGAGCCTCTGCCCTCGCTGTGGTGCCTTGGTGGAGTGTGTGGTTCATACCCCCCTGACCCTGCCCCGGCTCTGCCCCTGTGACTGCTGCCCTGGCCTGTCCTGGCCCCAGTGCCTTTCAGCCCTGCTGGCTGCATCCTCCCAAGTGCCGTCTCTTGCTGCTGTAACACAGCCGGGCCCGGCTCCTGCCTGTCCCAGCTTTCCGTGCCTTCCCTGCTCGGCTGCTGCTGGGTGAGCTGTTGCCAAAGCCCCCCTTGTCTTCCTCTGATGCCGCACTGTGCCTTCTCCCAGCCTGCACTAGAGCTGCCAGTGCTCCCGCGGTTTGGGATCCGTGGGAGCGTTGAGCGCTGGGATCCCTCAGGAGTGCCAGGGCTGCTCCAGCTGAGGAAGGTCCTGGAGCGCTTTCTGTCCCTTGCTTGCCTCCCCCATGAGCGCTGCCTCTGCCAGCACGAGGCTGTGCTGCCGTGCCCTGCCCACGGCTCCCACCTGCACTCCGGCTGCCCTGGGTGCCGCAGGGCCGCTGTCTCAGGTTGTGTTCGCTGCTGTGCTATGGTGAAGCTGTTCCTGGTGGCCTGGTGCGGGCTGTTGCTGCTGGGGCTGGTGTTCAAGTAGTTGTCACTGTAAGGTTTGAATAAACTTTTTCACCAAGCCACCATGTACCTTTTGTCTCTGGAGAAGGAGAAGGGGCTACTGCCCTCTCCCCTTGAGGGCTGGGGGGTGCCAGGCGAGGCAGTGGCGGCACAGCCCCTGCCAACTGCTGTGCTGCAAACAGCACACTCACGCTGGTGGCTATTTTTAGGCAACCCTCCTCCTGCTCCTCGATCTGAGCAGAGCTCCAGTGCCAGCCCTGCAAGCAGCCCTCCTGCCCTGTGACCACTCCAGTGACCAGCCCAGGCTGCCTCACTGGCCACAACCAGGAAGCTTCTGCAGAGCACTCTGGTAGAAAACGCACACAGAGGTTCATTAAGTTATTTATTAACCTAAAACAGCAGCAGCAGTGCCTTCCCTAGCTCCGAGAGAAAAGCCCAGGCCTGGGACTCGAGTACTTGTGAGTACAGTTGTGCCCACTGGCAACATGGGAGGAACAGGGGGAGTTCATGTGGCTCTTGGAGCCTTCCAGGGCACAGGTAAACAGTGAACCTGCGCTCACACGTGGAGATCTGGCCTGGCCAGAATCAAGAACTACTGCTTGGAGCCTGTGGATCTCTTCCAGGGAAAAGCACTTTTGCAAGGAGTAAGGAACAAAGCCAACAACCTTCCAGAAGCTGAACCAAGCAAAGGGGGAAGAGGATCCTTCAGTCAGCTTAGAGCAGAGGAACAGTCAGCCTCGAGAATTTTGGAAGGCTCAGGAGGGAGCAAGAGACACAACTAAAGTAAAGAACCAGCCCTTCAGATCAGAGCCCCTTTGCCAAGTAGCTGGACCTTCAAAGGAACAGTCGCCGAAATCTGGGTAGATGAAACCCTGAGCCTCTAAACCCCTCACAGGTAATGCAGCACCAAAATGGCAGCACCAATCTTGAACCTGAGAAAAACTGCCCTGAATTTTGAGTAGGCTCTTCCTGGGACCAGTTCTTCCAAAGGACTCTGTCACAGCCTGCTAGACCACCGCCAGCCCTTTGAAGTTCAATGGCTCAGAAGAGCCTGCTGCCAGGCTGAGTTGGGCTTTCCTTTCCCCTCTTCTGTTTCAACAAGAATTGACAAAACAATAATAAAAGTGAGAGTGTCAGCAAATGGAGAAGCCAAGGCCCTGCCCAGGGCTGGGCTGTCGCATGTGTCAGTTTAAAAGTTGTGCCACAGCTCTGTGACAAGGGACAAATTACCTCAGACTGTTAAAAAAGGAAGTGGGTTCAAAATACTGTACAGTCTCAATGACTGTACATTGTCTTGAGAAGCCTGGAATTTAGCAAGAGTGCACAAGAGAGAAGAGCTGCATTCACAGGTACCAGAACCAGCACCAGTGCCAGCCTGAGCACACACAGAGCACTGGGAGAGCCGGCCAGAGCCACGGCGAGCAACCAGAGCCCTGCAGCCTAGCTCGCCATGGACTGAGCCAGGGCCTGTGTGTGGCAACATCGCTAACTACACCTGTTTCTCTCTGTGTTCTGAGACTGGAACTCACTCTCATCAGGCTCTCGCTTCAGCTCTCCCTGGCATCAGGCCTGGTGGATCCTCCTTGGCTGTGGTGCTCGGTGTGGGGGGGCAGTGGAGGTTGGGCAGGGAGGGCTGAGGCACTGAACAGTTCACTAAAAGCACGGGGAAGCAGATCCTGAGCCCATAAGCCCTGGCACTGAGCTCTCTTCCCCTCCATTTTCCCAGCAGTCAAGTGAAGATCTTCCGAATGGCAGCTGCCTCTTGCTGCCTCAACCCCAGGGGCATGTTCTCCTTGTTCTCCAGCCCAGGCTGCTGGAGCCGCTTGCGGAAGTAGCAGGCTCGGCACACGGAGTGATACTTGTCAGCTCCTCCAATCACTTCAACCTGGCAGGAAAATTCGGAGGGTGACTCTCCAGAGTCCAGCTTCCCTGAGGGGATCCCTCTGGACCAGCAGGACTGGAAAGGTGAAGCAGTTTCTGTTCCAAGGGAACTCACCTCCCGCTCTGTTCCCAGCCTCTTGGTGTAGGAGGCCTCCCGGAAGCACTCCATGCACACGGCATTCAGCTTCACCACGCTCTCCGCCAGCGGCACGAGGTTCAGGATGCTCCCAAAGGCCTGTGCAAAACAGTGTAGGAGGTGCTGCTGGGCGGGTTCTGCGAGGGTCCCAAAGCAGCTGCTGTACCAAAATGAGTGTTATACCTTTCTCTGGAAAGTCCCATCCAGAGCAGCAACGATGACTGTTTTCCCGGCGTTGGCCATTGTCTCGCAGAACTCCACAATATCTGGGAACTGGAGGGGGCACAGGCACAGCATCAGGAGGGAGCAGGGGCAGCTCTTGGCTCTGGATCCTGCAGTGCATACCCAGACAGCAGCACCAGGAACAAGGAAAGTCAGAGCCACATGCCCTGTCTTTAGAATGGACTCCAGTCCCATGCCATTGGGGACTACAGGGAGGGAGGGTTTGACTACAAACACAGTCCAGCTGGATCAAACTGCCCCAGGGCATTTCTTTCCATCTCTTCCTACAGAGGACTCAGGCCTTAGTCTGCACAGGGTGCCCTGGGGAGTCTGTGTTCCCCAGAGCGCCCCGAACCCCCTCCAGCTGTGTACTTACGAACTGGCCCTCGTCGATGCCGATGACGGCGGCGCCCAGCGCCTCCTGGTACACATCCTGAAGGAGCCCGGCGGGCACAGCTTCCATGGTGCTCCTGCGGGCAGGGAGGGGGTGAGCCGGGCAGGCCAGGCATCCCCGCGGAGGGGGGGTGGTCCTCCTGCCCCAGGAACTGACTTGTCGTGTGTGGAGACCCCGGAGGAGCTGTAGCGCGTGTCCTTGGCGTACTTCACCAGCAGGCACCGGTACTGGGCAAGCTGGAACCGCCGCACCCGCCGCATGAGCTCCGTGCTACGAGATACTGTGTCAGCGGGCACCGGCACCGACCCTCCCCTCGCACCTCGCCCCGCGCCCCCCGCCCCGGGCCTACCTCTTCCCGGAGAACATCGGCCCGAAGATCACCTGGGGGCAGAACGGCGGGTCATCGGACAGCCCCGGCCCCGCCCGGTGCCGGTGCGGCCCCCGGCCTCGCAGCCTCCCCAGCCGGGTGCCCTGGGATGATACCCGTCCGTGCCCCCCAGCGCGGTGCCCGGGCGGTGCCGTACCTGTATCTGCCCGCGGGGCCGGCTGGGCGAGCCGGGGTGGACGCCGGGCACCGTCAGGCAGTTCATGGCGGACTGACGGCCAGAGCCCGCGCGCGCCGCTCCGCCGCGCCAGCGCCGGCCAATCGGAGGAGGCCCCGCGCTGACGCGCCGCCGTGCCAGCCAATCGCGAGAGGGTCCGCGCCGGCGCTCCGCGATGCTGACCAATGGGGCCACGGGCGCCAAAATTCTTATTTTCCGCTGAGCGTCGGCACCGCCTTTCCGGGCCAGGAGGGCCAATGGGAGGGGCCGGACACGCCCCCGGCCCTGGCCCCGCCCCCGAGCTCTGGCCCTGTGCCCGAGCTCCAGCCTCGCCTCCAGGGTGGCCAATGGGAAGGAGTCGGCCCCGCCCCCGCGCTCTGGCCCCGCCCCCGGGCGGGCAGAGGGCGCAGGGTCTGGACGGGACCGGGCGCGGGACCGGGCGCGCCATGGGCGGGTGGCGGGACATGTCCGCCGAGGTAGGGCCCGGGGGCAGGTAGCGCGCGGTTCTCGGCCAGACCGCGGGGTCTCTCTCGGCCCCCGCTGCAGCCCCGTTGCCTCCTCGCAGGCGCTGGAGGACCAGTACTCCCCCAGCCGCTGGTCCCCCCGCCTCGACCGGGACACCATCATCGACGCCCACCTCGCGGTGACGGCGGCAGGTGAGGAGCGGGGGACGCCGGGAGTGGGGGCTGCGCTCGGTGCCATGGCCCCATGCCCCACCGCCTCCCGCCCTGCAGGAACCGAGCGGGCCCGGGCCAGCGCCCAGACCTCGCTGCACGTCCCCTATGGCAAAGGGGACGGGGAGAAGCTGGACATCTATTTCCCCACGGACCATTCTGGGAGTAAGTGACAGAGACGGTGAGGATGGGGGTGGGCAGGGGTCAGATCCTCTGCTCACCCCCCACTGCACTGTGCAGCCTTCCCGGTCCTGGTCTACATCCATGGCGGATACTGGCAGTGCCTGAGGTGAGGTGGGATCCCTTGGGAAGGGACTCCCCCTGCCCACCCTTACTGACTCCCTTCTCCTGACATTGGGACTCTCTGGGTACGTGGGGTCTGACCAGTCCCCAGCTGGCCCCCACAGCCCCTGGCCCCCAGAGCCTGTCAGCGTCTCTCTTCCCCCAGTAAGGACGAGTCGGGGTTTGCAGCCCCCCCGCTGGTGTCGCAGGGGGTGGCGGTGGTGGCGGTGGGGTACGACACAGCCCCCCGAGGTGGGTGTCACCCTGCAGAGGCTGTGGCCGCGCGCATGGCCTGGCGCCCTCTGACCCTGCCCTCTGCCCTCTGCCCAGGCCACATGGACACTATGGTTCTGCAGGTGCGCCGCAGCCTTGCCTTCCTGGTGGAACAGTACCCTGAGATCAGGTGGGCAGCTCCCAGGGGGGCTGATGTGTGAGTGTGGCTGGGGGGGCAAACGAGCCTTGTACCAGGACAAAGACTCCAGCACCTCAGCCCAAGTGCTGGGCAGTGCCTGCAGCCCCGATCCTATCATTGCACAAGGCAGCAGCTGATGGATTAGGAAACATCCGAGCTGCTGTGTTCAGGCGTGCTGCCCCCTCCGCATGGAGCAGGATGTCTCTAGGTGTCCCCAGGTGTCCCTGCCAATCACTCCCTGAACTGGCTCACGGCGCTCTCCTTCCAGAGGCATTTACCTGTGTGGGCACTCGGCAGGGGCCCACCTGGCAGCCATGGTGCTGTTCACAGACTGGACGGAATTCCACGTGGTGCCAGATATCAAAGGTAGGGTTGGCATATCCCAGTGAAGAGGCTGGAGGAGAACTGGTCTCTGCACTTGGAACAAGGCTGTGGGGCTGTGGAGCCGAGGGGATGAGCTGCCCAATGATGAGGTCCCCAGGGTTGTGGGAGCCACCCAAGCTGTGGCCTCTCACTTGCCAGTGCCTCTGCCTTCAGGAGCAGTGCTGGTGAGCGGCGTGTACGATCTGGAGCCCATCCTGCACACCTATGTGAACGATGCTCTGAACATGAGCCGGTGAGCCTGCACACTGCAGGGACAGCCACAGGGACAGGGCACAGGCAGGCAGACATCAGTGGCTCTGTGGCCACTCTGCGCCTGTGCCACCCCCTGGCCGATGAGCCCAGCCAAGGACATGGCTGCTCTTGGAGCGAGGGGCTGTGTCAGCTGCCACTGCGGTGACTCCTGCAGGGAGGTGGCCCAGAGGAATAGTCCCATGCGACACGTTGCCCCGGCGGTGCCAGCAGCCTGTGAGGTGCTTGTGGTTGTGGCCCAGCACGACTCCCCGGAGTTTCGCAGGCAGTCGCAGGAGTACAGCCAGGTGAGCTCCCGCAGCGCCCTGCCCAGCTCCACGGGAGTGCTGCTCCAGCTGGCCCTTGCCAATGTGTCCAACTGGGATGAAGAGCTCGCATGCTGGACCAGAGTGGTGCTTCTGGCTTGGGGAAGGACACCAGTCCTTTTCAAGCTGTCATTCCTGCTGCCCTGTGCAGGGCAGGTGGGCGTTGAGGTCCCTCCTGCCAGCACCGCTCTCTCCGCAGGCCCTGCGTGCAGCCGGCTGGTCCGTCTCCCTGCTGGATCTGGCCGGTGTGGATCACTTTGATGTCATTGAGAAGCTGTCTGAGAACAGCTACATCCTCACTCAGGTAGGCAGGAGGGCTGTGCTGAGACAGATCAGGTGGGTGCAGGGCTGGCTGTCACCTCCCTGTGGGGAGGAGCGGGGCCAGCTGCTGCTCACAGGGCTTGGTTCCTCATCCCAGGTCATTCTGAACATGATTTCAAGAGCATGATGGCATGTTGAGAGCAAACAGACAGGGACCATGGCCCTGCATGACGGCACCAGGCAGCCAGCCAGTGTTCCCCTTGCCCACTGCCTCCTTGCTCCAGCACAGGGTGGCCACTGCCTCAGACCCCCCTGGCCCCTTCTGCTCTGCCCTGCCTAGGCTGGTGCCCCTTTCCTGGGGTCTTCCTGCCTTCCTGCCTGCCGGAGCATGAGGGGCTGAGGGCTCCAAGGCTCTGTCCAGACAACTGGTTGATGAAGATCATTCCCTCAGTGTCCTTTAAACTGCATATTGTCAATACAAAATAAAACAAGAATTACTGTTGCCTGGGGTAGCTGCTTCCCAGGGAGCCAGTGAGTGCACACCCAGTGTGATTACTGCTGAGGGAATCCTTTCTTCCAGCACAGAGTTCTGGGCTGCAGACTCACTGACCCAGAACATAACAGAGAAGCCTGGGGAGCCCACCTGTGGCTGCAGGACTGGGATGACACAAACCTCTGGGAATGGGGGTGATGGAGCCATCTAAGCCAGGCTGGGCTCATGCTCCTGGGACAGTCCTGGCCAGACACAAACCTTGGCGCTGCTGTGCAGTGACTCTGGTCCTCTGGATGACATGCTTCCATGTCCTCAGGAGCATTTGTCCCTCCATGGGGACCTTGGCCGAAATGTCCCTGCTGCAGAGGCAAGAGAGCCAGGCACACTTAAAACACCCCGCACAGCCACAGTACTGCCAGAAAACATTTATTTTGTGCACTGACCACCCCAAGGTCTGGGGTCTCCCCCAGGCTGGGCTCACCCTGGTTTGTCAGTCTGCCTGTGGGGACAGATGATGTGTTGCAGTCAGCTGGGAACACACCTGGAGCACACAGGGGCTGGTCCCAGCCCCTGCACTGTGGGCTGGCCTACCTGCTTCAGCTGGGGGGGAAGCTGGGAGGATGCTCAGGCTCCCCCTGTGCCCAAAGGAGTTGGATGCAGTCCCAGGGCCAGCTTCTCCTGACACTTCCTGGCAACAAACTCCAGCTTGCTCCTTGCGAGCTCAGTGTCGTGGGCCGAGATGTCGCGGTGCCAGACGGCGCGCACGGTGTGTGCCGACCAGGGGAGCAGCAGGACGCTGACAGCCTGCCCAGTCTCAGCCACCTCCTCTTCGCTGGTGGCACGCAGGTGATCGCAGAGCTCGGCGGGGGATGGCCAGGCCCCCCGGACATTTACCATCACGATGTTGGTCTCCACTGCTGCCAGGTTAACAGAGCAGAGAGGCAAGTCCAGCACGTGGATGCCTGTGGGAGGCCAGGGTGGTGGGTGCAAGCCCAGTGCCTGGCTACCTGGGAGAGGCTACCTGCCCAGCCATGCCCCAGGTCCTGGCTGAAGGGGGGCCCTTTACCCCGCCGTGTGGTACCAGGGTCATTGCGGGCACCATGGGGATGGTCACAGAATCATCCCAGCACTCCAGACAGGTGAGGATCTCAGCAGCATCCTCACCTGGCTGGAGACCCAGCATGACCACTGGGGGATGGTGCCTGAGCCAGCACTACCCCAGCAGTGCCTGGCAGTGCTGGGTGTGCCGTTACCTCCTGGCAGGCCGAGGGGCCCTGAGGTACCTTCTGCAAAGCGCCGGGCATTGTCGTGGTCTCTGTGCAGCGTGGCCTCCGCGTGCCGCAGCCCGAGGAGGGCAGCGGCCGCCAGCACTCCCGCCTGCCGCATCCCCCCGCCCAGCAGCTTCCGCGTGCGCCAGGCCTCGGCGATGAACTCCCTGCGCCCCGCCAGCACCGCGCCAGCCGGGGCGCCCAGGCCCTGCAGAGCCACCAGGAGGGTCACCCCTGCTGCCCCTCTTGGGGACACATCCAGCCTGCCAGGTGGGTTCTTAGCACAACGCCTGCAAACAAGGGCCAAGCTCCAGCTTGCGCTGCCTCCCGCCAGCCCTGGGGACCCCTCTCCACACAAGCACACCTTGGAGAAGCAGAGGGACACAGAGTCACAGTGCTGGGTGATCTGAGCAGGCTCCACGCCCTGGGCCACCGCCGCATTCATCAGCCGTGCGCCATCCATGTGCACCTGCAGCCCATAGTGGTCAGCGAGCTCACGGACCTGGGGGGCACAGGGGCAGCTGGTCTGAGATGGACTCCTGGGGCATCTTGTCCACCGTGAGCTGCGCTCTGAGCTCCAGCGTCCCCAGAGCGTCAATGTGCTGGGTCTAGCTGTTCATGTCAGGCAGGATTGTGCCAGCACTGTCCGTGGGCTCCCACCTGCCTGAGGTAGGTGAGGGGCAGCACCCGGCCTCCTGCCGAGCTGTGCGTGTTCTCCAGGCAGATGAGCTGAGGGCGTGGGTGGTACCGGCTGCCGTGGGCCTCGCGGACGGTCAGCTCCAGCTGGTCCAGGTCGAAGGTGCCGTCTGGCAGATCTGGCAGGGCTTGGGAATGGACACCAGCAACCTGCAGCCAGGGCGGGTAAGAGCACAGAGCCAACAGGGGACAGGGGGGTTCCAGCCCTCTGCCCCTCAGTCCCCTCCATCGGGTGTGCTCAGCCCCTACTCATGCACAGCCTGTGGTTTGGGACAATCTGGGTGATGCTGTGGCAGTGGGTCCTCTGCCCAGCGCAGCTCTGGCAGCCAGAGGAGGGCAGCCAGAGGAGGGCAGCACATGGCCGCCCTCCTGCCCCTGCCTGCACTGCCACCAGTGCCACCGTGCCCGCCCTCGGTACCCACCTGTGCGGCCCCACCATGCTCATAGAGGTGCAGGTGGGCGTTCTGACCCAGGAACAGCTGAGTCCCCCTCTGCTGGCAGTGGCACATCACTAGGGGAAGAGGGGCCGTGAAGGAGGATTGCCAAGGGCAGCACCCCACAGCTCTGCCCTACCACCCCACGACTTCCCCGGCAGCAGTGGGGCTCTACCCCGGGGAAAGCAGAGGGGGCCCCGGCCCCAGCAATGCTCTCCCGAGGAACGGGGCTCTGGGGACCCGAGAGGCGCAGGGCTGTCCGGGCCCTCCACACGTCCCACGGGACGGGGGCACCACCTGCCCCCGGAGCGGGCCTGGGGGCGCGGGGAGCAGCGAGCGCAGCCCCGGACTCACCAGCAATAAGGTTGGCCATGGTGGCCGTGGGCACGAACAGAGCCGCCTCCGTCCCCAGGGTCCCCGCGGCCCGGCGTTGCAGCTCTGCGGGGGGACACGGGAGTCCTGGGGGGCTGGCGCTGGGGGTCCCGGGGCGCCGGGAACCCCACAGGTCCGGGGACCTCACGGAAAGTCCGTCCCCTCCGCCCACCGTTCACCGTCGGGTCCTCCCCGTAGTCGTCGTCGCCCACGACGGCGCGGGCCATGGCGCGGCGCATCCCCGCGCACGGCCGGGTTACCGTGTCGCTCCGCAGGTCCACGGTGCGCGGGGAAACCGCGGCGGGGCGGGGGGGCCTCCGCGGCTGCGACCCCCCGAGCACCCCCCTGGGCCAGGGCAGCCGTCCCTGCCGCAGCACCGCCCGCATCGCCAGGACCGCCCCCCGCAAGGGCTCCCGGGCGGGGGCGGGACCGCTCGGCCCCCGCCCCGGGACCAGGGCAGGGATTTCGTGGCGACGGCACGGGGCAGCAGTCCCTGTGTGGGCACTGTAGAGCCGTCGTCCCTCCATCCCCCACCTCTGCGCTCGCCTCAGCCACAGTGGCGCTGGGTGACACGGGTGGAGGACCGCCCCAGCCCCGCAGTCTCCCGCGGCCCCTCGCTTCACCGGGAGCCCCATCCTGGGCGCCAGGGGGGATCCGCGAGTCTTTCCATGGCTGAGCGAGGATAGTTGCGGCTCCCGCCACGCTGTGCCGCTGCCAAGAGGGCTGGCACGGGGTCACCTGGCTCCAGCTCTGGCTGTGTCTGCCCTGGCAGCAGCCGACACATCACCCGGTGGCACCGAAGGTGGGCTGGCACTGCACCGGTGCTGTGGGGTCTGTGGGCAGCTCCGCAGTTCTCAGCGCTACCTGCCTCCTCTGGGGGACCAACCGGCCTCTTGGCAGAACTCTGCACTGCCCCGGAGCAGGAGGGCATGTGCCCAGTGCAGCAGTGAAACCCCCCTGCCTTTCCCTGTCAGGCTGGACTGGCTGGGCTGCATCTGCCTCGTGCTGTAAATGGGGAGGGGGGCACAGCTCTGCAGAACCTGACACTTTCTCCTGACGTTTGCAGGGGATCAGCAGGGTAGGTGCGTTCAGGTCCCCCCTTCCCCTCAGGGGCTATGCTGCCCAGCCCTGCCCACCTATGTATGTGCCACATTCCAGCCACCTGCACCATGGCTCCTGCCATGCTGCTGCCTTCTCCCTTCCTCTGCCCCGCCATAGCCTTTGCCCTCCCCAGATCCCCCATCCTGAGCCCTGCAGCTTCCCCACCGGCTGCCCTGCCCCTGCCTGCACCCCTGCCCATGGGGCCCCCTCCCTCACTGCCCCCCTCGCTGTCAGCCCCGCAGATGAGTGAGCCATAAACAGTCCTTCATGAGACATTTTTCACACGCAGGGCCACATGTTAACAGTTTTTCTTTATTTACTGCCTCCATTTCCTCTTTGTTCCAGGAACTTGTCCTCCAACTTCAAGCTGCTCATGATTAGGCAAAAAGGCCTCTAATCTCCCCGATCTGATTTACCGTCACTGAGAGCAGACGCTTCCCGTTACTGGCCCTGGACCTGGAAGCATGGACAGCTGAGCTGTGCCGGCTGCCGAGCCCAGCCGAGCCTCCCCAAAGCTGCCCCGCCGCACACACCGCCTTCCCAGCAGCTTCCTCTTCCAGTAAGAGCTGGGCAGCACAGCCGGTCACGTCACAGGTGAAGGGCTGGGGGGAAGAGCAGCTGTGGGGCCCTGAGCCAGGGACCCCTCCCCATGCCTGGGGCGGCTGCCCTAGGGCAAGGCAGGCTTTGGAGCTGCTTTCTCCACTTGGAAAGGCTCAGTGGCTGGAGCATCCCTCAACATGGCCTTCGCAGCCACTCACCCATCCACTCCCACAGTACCTAGTGGGGTGACTGGTGGCCCTGGGGTGCCCACAGTGGGGAGAGCTCCCATGCATCCTGGCTGTCCCTGTGCGTGACTCCAGCAAATGCTGAAGGGTGGCTTCAGAGAGCTGAGGGACAGCTCAGGGCTCTGTGCTGTGCAGCCCCCATAGCCCAGGCAGGACCTGCAGCCAAGCAGGGGCTCCTTCACTAGGAGGTGGCCACATCCTCTGCAGGACCGTGCAGCGTGGCTGGGTCTCCTCTGCAGAGCCCCTTGTCCTTCAGCCCCATACCTTTCTCTGTGTCTCTGGGCTGCGACCTCCCTCGAGGGTCTCCCCTCACTACGAGCACACAGAGAGAGCTCCCCCATCTGCACGGGGCCCAGTAGGGCCAGGGTGGAGCTTGGTGGCCATATGTGGGGCAGCCAAGCTGAGGACACAGTAGTGTGGGCAGTGGGTGGGCAGTGCCAATGCCTGGCCAGTGGCTTGGCTGGCAGCTGGAGGCTTGCTGGGGGCTTGCCCAGGACCACACTGCACTGTGGCTCTACAGCCACCACCTGCCCACACCAGCTCCTGTGGTGGGCTGAGCCTCTGCTCCGCTGGGCTCCTGCTCCAGCCGTGCCTCCCCGGGGCTAAAATTAGCAGCTGAGGCCTGGCTGGGGAGCTGGGAGTGGAGCCCAGACCCCACCGCGGAGGATCGGGTTTCCCCCCCTCCCTGCCACAGGCCTGGCAGCCACTGGGGCTGATTCCCGGAGCTGGGCCCCCCCTGCCACCGGCCCCACCGGCAGCCCCGTCCCAGCCCTGCCAGGCCCAGCTGCTTGCCCTGCACTGCAGGAGGCTCAAGAGGGGCTGTGGGATGGGGGGGCACAGTGCTGTCCCTCACCAGGCTGGGGCCGAGCTCTCTGCCCCTGGCACACAGGACTACCCTGGGACAGGCTGGCAGTGAGCTCCATTATCAGCCTCCCAGTAGAGCTGGTGGCTGCAAGGGGGGCCCTGTGGGGACGGGGCTGTCGGTGGCTCAGGTGGTGCCCTGGGGGTCTTGTGCCAGGTGCCCAGGGCTGGCTCAGGACCGGGCAGTGACCCTGACATTCTCACCATGAGCTTGGGGTGTTTTCCTGCCAAGCTGCCTTGGCCCTACAGCCACACTGCCCTTGCTGCCTGTGCTGCCCACCCTGCCTGCCCTCTGGGCTGCCACGGCTCGTCCCCGTAGGCTGGCGTCCTGGAGGGTCCCGGTCCCACCGGGGCCGGGGCAGCCGCCATCCGTCACCCCTGAGGGGCCGGAGCCGCGGAGCCGAGCAGTTTCCCGCTACTGGGAATGGCGGGGCGACGCCCGGGAGCGCCAGTTCCAGGCTCAGCCAGTCCGGGTCGTGCCCCCACCCGCCGCACTCCCGGTGTCCCGGTGCCGGTGACGTGTCCGCAGCTGCGGCATGCGGCGGCCGCCGTTCGCACACGGCACCGGCCGAGCTTCGGCCCGGGACAGAGCCCCGACGGGCAGAGTCCCGGGGCTGCCACGGCCGTACCCGGTGCGGGACCCGTGGGCTGCCTCGAGGAAGCCCCGACGGAGCCCCGCGTGGTCCGGACCGGGGCCCGGTGGCCGCGCGGTCCCGGCCGGTGCCCCGTCCCCAGCCCGCGGGGCCGCGGATGCCCCCCCTCCGCCGGCAGCGACTTTTCCAGTAAAACCGCCGCAGAGATCCCGGCTTCCCGACAGGCCCGGCCTCCGCGCCGGGGGGGCGCCGGCCGCCCTTAACCCTTCCCGGCCCGACGGGCGGCTGCGGGTTCGGGACCCGGGGCGACTGCGCCCGCCCTGCCCGGCCCGGCCCGGCGGCTCCGGGGACCTGCGGGGGACTCTGTCCGCCGGGTCCGGGGCGGCGATGGCCCCACTCCCGAGAAACAGGGGGGCCCGGCGGTCCTGGCGGTACCGGAGGCTCCAGTGCCGAGGCAGCCTGACCCGCGGCACACCGGGAGCCGGTGGGAGAGACCCAGCCCCGGGGGGCCTTTCGGCCTCAGCCCCGGCGGGGTCCGGCCGTGCCGGGAAGGGCCCCCCCATCCCACCGTACCCCCCAAACAGAGGGTTTTGCTTCTCAGGGTGCAGCTGAATAGGGGCTGGACCCTGCCACAGAGCAGAGGGACCAACTATCCCAAAGGCCAAGGAGCTGGAGAACTGCCGGGGGAAAAGCCCCTCTGTGCTGTACCCCAGCGAGGGCTGGGGGTGGGTTAGGGCCCCGGCGCTGTGGGGATGGGGTGGCCGTGGGGTCCCTGGGAGAGCCCAGGTGCTGGGGCAGCTCTGGGCGCACCCTGGGAGAGTACTGGTGGCGATGATGGCTCAAGGCTAGTGGCTGTGCCAGCTCCACAGCCCTGCTCAGCGCTGCGTGGGGACGCTTTGGCTGGGTGGGCAGAGCTGGGGCTGCCCAGGCACCAAGGGTCCGTGCTGAGAGCTGTGCAGGGCCGTCCCCACTGTGCCCTGCCTGCCTCCAGCTGCTGCACTGGCCGAGCCAGGGCTGAGGTAAGTGCTGTAATTGTTTTCTCTGTGGCCCGAAATGAATAATTGAGAGGTCTTTGAGGAGAATTAATTAGCCCGTTTATTGGCAGTAAATGCTTTTCTCCAGATGATGAAATAGATCTCGAGCCACACGTGGGGCAGGCGGATGCAGGTCGCTGAGGCTGCTCCGGAGCTCGTAGGTGCCAGTCTGCAGGCCAGGCGTGCCAGTGCCCCATGCCCACTGTGGGCTCCCATGGCCTCCCAGCGGTCCTGTGTGCCCGGAGCTCACTGCACTCACGGCCAGCGGAACCTGGCATGGGTGGGAGCACAGGGCACCAAGGGGTGAGCAGGGTCCTGTGGCAGTGTGGGAGCCCTCTGCCCCTGTCATGCCCATGTGGCTTCCTGCTCCCCCCCAACTCACATCCCATCCTGGGGGCTCTCTCCCTGTGCATACTCTGCTGTGTCCCCTTGTGTTTCCTTTCTTGTGGCTGCCAGGGTAGTGCCAGCTTGGGGCTTGTGGCCTGCACCTCCTCCTCCTCCTTCTCCTCATCTCCTCTTTCTCCTTCTCCCCTGGGCATGAGGTGAAGGGCCCAGGATAGCCAGAAATGCTTAAACAAGGATTTCCTTGTTGCTGCACAAGCTGTTTGCCTTCTCCCAGGCCAGCCGTTAATGAGGTTTGGCAGGAGGCACCGTCAGCCCCAGCCATTGGATTTCTATAAATCAGCCTGGAGCTGATGCTTGGGGCTGGGATGGAGCTGCTTGGCTTGGGTGCATGGGACTGCAGCCTATGGGTCATGGGAGACCCTCTGGGAGTGGAACATCCTGGCAGGGTGGAGAGGAGCAGAGGCTGAGGGGGCCAAAAGGGGACAAGGGGGCTGTGGCTGCTTCCCGGCAGACAGGTCAGAGTGTCCACTTCCAGGAATGGTGGAAAATGTAAAGCAAAAAACAAAGCAGCTTCCCACAGCTGAGGTGCTTCTGTGTCCTGATCTTTCCCACATTCCCACCTCCCTTCCCCAG